GCTCCTTTTACCAGGACCCGCCAAAAGTGATGGCACTAGTTTCATTGATGGAGATAGGCATGACTACGTTCGATAATATTTACAGTCTATGATAACACCAGCAACTTTTTGTTTTGTTATGTGAAAATATAGACATACAATCGAAGTGCAGAGGAGTAGGGACCACCAAAGCTCCAGGAAAAATACCATGACACAGGAGAACATGCTAGTTTCAGACCCCATGTAGACGAGGAATCGAACCCATGACCTTCTAAAAAAGCTAGAGTGCTAACCACTCAGCCACTGTGCTGACATTACACTGAAGATTTTGGGGATGTTCACTAGCTTAATTAATCTTAAAGCTATAGCTATAATAGTCCAATAAGTAAAAATACATAAGTATTATGCCTGTATTTAGAGCGTAAAATACATAATGTTATTGTGACAGGTCAAAGGAACATAAAACATATCTAAATGTATTAACAGTACCTCTTCTAAGGAAAGAGATAAGAGCAAATTATTGTAACAACCAACCATGAATACAATAATGAACAAAGCAAGCGTTTCTAAAGCCCATGCGATGAAAGATGCATCAATGCTGGAATGAACTCCTGGATCCGTCGACCTGGGTGGCTCTACCGGCAACGTGGAAAGAATCTGCTTATGATTTGGTTTAGTAAGCTCTAAGACACAGCAGGTCTCCCCTCTACTCTCTGTCTGCGCTCCCCTTGGCCCGCACGGGTGAGGACAGGGTGATAGAGAGGTCAGGGGGGCTCCAGTCGACTGTGCCCTGGAGGGGAATCCTGGGGAGGGACAGCGAAGTAGCAGTTGTTGCAACCTGGTACCTCCCATTTGAAAACAAACAAACACACCAGCCTAATCTCATTTAATCAGAGTGAAGAAAAACCCTCCAGCACCGTCTACACAACCCTGTGTTTCAAGATAATACACCCAAATTTTATATGGACAAGTTTGATTCGTTTGGTTCCAGTTGAGTGTTGCTTGTAGCATGGTTTGGTCTTATTTTGTTGAATTAAGATGCTAGTATGTTTCTCATCTCTGGTATTGGTTTAATATTATTCATGATCTTAGTCAAACTCTGAATTAAGCTCAGTTATTTTTTGTATGTTTGCTTGAATGCCCCCCAAAAGTATCAATATTTTCAGAGTTCTCTTGAGTTACTAAAATAGTTGTAAAGATTTGGTCCTATTGAGCCATAATTTCAAATAGATGATACCACATAGTGGGGCAAGGTCTGTGTATCTGTTATATAACAATGACTCAACTTTTATAAATGAAATCTACTTATCACATTTGATAAACCATCAGCCCAGGTTGTACATGAAAAAGAAAGAAACAAAATAGTATATAATATGAGGAAAAAATCCTGATAATATTGTCACAGATTGCTCTGCCCTAATTTGTGTCCAAAATGTCCAAAATGCTACAAATCCTTCTCAATGATTAAATCCATTATTTAAAAAATAACTAAAAAAGATTTTAGATGAATCTGAGATTATTCCAAGACTTCCCTGATAAGTCACCTCAAGAGCCACAGGTTGGGAATATTTTTGGTGCGACTCTTTGTTAAAAATAACTTTATATCCAACCGATGCACCAACATTAGTCTGATAATAAATCATTCTCAAAAACATCATCATGATTGATTAACTAAATTAAATATGTTTCCATGTCTATCTCTCCTCATCTGGTCTGGTTAAAAGCAAGCATCTGAACATTTTGAATTAAAGTAACACTTGTGTTAACAACCTGATGTTTTTTTTCCAAAAAAACAGACTTAATGTCTAAACATATAATTTACCAGCAAACTCTCCATTTATTCTTGCCACAAACATTCTCCATATTCTGTGTTTTGAAGTTTTGCTACGGTTCTGACGATAGACTAAACTCCTTCCCGGCTTACAGTTTTCTTAAGAACAGCGCTAAACAAATTCCAGTCTCTCTGTGATGCTTGAGCCAATAGCAGCGCGGCTCTCTGTCAGCTGACCAGCCCGGCGAGATGAGGGTGAGATTAGACCAATCAGGGGTCGGCGCGAGGTTATCACAACCGCTCCAAAACTAAAACAGATGGAAAGGAGACTGCAGTACGTACGGCTCTGTGTCCCGGGTCCAGCTCATATCTCTGCGCCGTGAAGGCAGCTGCTCCAGTTCACTTGCGGAATGTCACTTCTGGTTCGAAAATACCAGGTCACGTGGCGTTGCATCGGTAAATATCATCAGGATGATTGATTTAACGTGATAAAAACACTCAGTCTTCACAAAATCCACAATCTCACTGTTGTGGAGTCAAACTTAACAATGTTGAAGTCATGTCTTGAATAAGCTTTTGTAGGAGATCGATCTTAGTCCATTCAAACTGTGCACATGTCAAAAAAATGTGGTTAATCAATAATTGAGATTATTCAAGTCAAAATATTATATTCTAACAAAAAAGTCTAGTAAGAATCAAAATGAAGCAATTTCAAGTCCGTTTTACTCAAGTAAACTACAAAAAGTTACAAATAATAATTTAATAAAACTGAGATTTCCTAATGGGATGAGATGAAATTGGGGAAACTACTTTAATGCTGGAGTACCTAGCTTATTTTTCATAAGTTATACATGTTGTTTGTTCCAGTAGAAAGAGTTGAAAAAAACTTGGATTTTTTCACATATTTGTAGGAATGAGCCATGTGAGTCACGATTTGAGGCTTTGGGCTGAGAGCTGATTGACTGAGAGAGTGTATGTATCTGAGGCAAAAAATAAAAAAATAAAAAAATAAAAGAATTACGATAGAACCAAATTGTTTTGACAAGTAGGAACCGTTTAGATGGATTTCATGACAATTTGTTTGTGGCTTGAAGAATAGGTAATCCAGCTTTAAATGCAAATACATGTTTAAAGTATATTACTGTTGATTATCTGGACACTGAGTGGAAATAACAGTTACAGTTTTATGTATTTATTTTTGTCCCACTCTTGTTTTTCTTTTGGCCGTTCCTCATGATCTTTCCATCTAAAACCCAGTGATAACCCAAAGATCACTCCTTGCACATGAATCAGATGCAAAGTGATTAGCAGCACCGTGACAAGGGGACACACAACTTCATGACGTCAAAAAGCCCCAAACAAACAGCCAAAACACAGGAGATAACACACTGAAAATATGGTCGCCGTCTTATCGTAGATGTGAATTGTTTCCGTGTGGGAGGGGAGGGGTGAGGAGGGCACAGGAACTCCAGAATATCCTCCCTGCGCCTTTGGCCTGTGCCTGACTCCCGAGCTAAGTCTTATTTCAAGAGAAGGTCAACACCAGGTTCAACTTTTCACCTCCGCAGGCCCAAAGAACACGTTAAGTACCGGGGATTACAGCCGCAATATGGAGCGGACTTCCACAGCATATCGCTACATGCCTGCAGAGCTCCCTTCAAAAGCCCACAAGAGGACCAGACTTCTGCAAGTATAATAAAGTATTACAAAGTGTGACAAAATGAGGCATTGTCTTATGAAACCGATGGGAAGGTTTGAAATGGCTTTGAAATTCTAGGTTTTTGTACATTAAAAATTTCACATAACAGTGTATTAAACGTGGAACTAATTGTATTGTTTTATTGTTACAGCACCATTGCAAATGTCTTTCAACTCAATGTTGGCTCTTATGAACTCTCAAATACTATTCGATGAGTGTGTGATAACTTAATCACAAATATGTTTCTAACAATGTTCAAGAGTCCCCAGAAGAAATCAGTTACAATATTCTCTAGTTTTTTAAATATGTATCTATTATTTTTTTATCTTTTCTAAAACAACAACAACTCAAACCTCATCTTAGTACATCAATATATACACTTTCCAGGATCTCTATAGAGTGTACACCACAAACTCTGTTTTATAGATTTAGCAAAACCTGGAAGAAAGCAGTTCGTAAAGTCTTAAACTGTGGCTGTAAAATGCACAGAAACTAGGTCTGGGCAATAAATCGAATTTAGGCAATTAATCTGCTTTTTGAAAAATCTAATTTGTGAAAAATGTGAAAATCGTGAAATCAAATGAAGGATATTGTTAGAGTTCCAGCAGCACATGAATTATACTTACAATATCAGCACAGTCTGTACAAGACTTTTATAAATACGTATTGAGAGAAACAAATTAAAACAAGTTTTAAAACTGAAATATTGAGCGGAAAAATCAAACAATATTTTTAAGAGCAAAGTCTGTCTTTGGTGACTTTAATGAAAATCGATTTAAAATTGAAATCTTCCAAAGCAGGAAATAAAATCGAGGAATTTTGCCAAGGAATTTTGCCATATCGCCCAGCCCTAACAGAAACTAAACTGTATATATCAACGGACATAGTCACGCCTAACTCCGCCTTTCTAACTAATGGGCCAAAAATTGGGGTTTCATGGAGTGATTCAAAATGGCCGCGGGGGCTGGAAAATGTGGAAAAACGCATCTGCGCACGAGTGACTTCAAAAACTCACAGCAATCTATTCAGCTATTCCAACAATTAGCAAATCCTAAGTGCTGCAAAAGTTATGTGAAAATATGCGCCTGTCAAATCATTCAATAACTGTTGGACAACAAAGTATTTTGGGCCTCAATATTGTCTGTAAATTTTCTTTACAAAAGTGGAGAGATGTTTTCTATTTTCTATGCAAAGCTGTGGGTTCAATATGATTTAATATGACGTATTTCTGCTATTTCATATAATTTGGGAAATTATGTTTTTTTCAGAATCAATATATCATTAATCAGAATTGTTGTGACATTTTTATGCAAACAGCTTATTAATTGAGAAAAATATGGTTTTACCAAAGTTCACATTATTTTCGGAAATGTATGGGGATCTTGTATTAGTTAACTGTTTCGTATTTTTGTATTAGTTCAAATTTGATGTTTTTTACATTATTATGCTGCTTTTATAACATGGGTTGAATATAATCATGCTAAAATCATGCATCCCTGTCCATGTAAACTAGAGCCACAATATAAAGACTGTAGGAATGAGCCTCCCACCATGCTGCCGTGGTTTCAGGTGTGGTGGCAGCGGTGGGGCCATGTCAGTTCTGCTCAGGTGGAACTGCACAGACAGACGGACAGACGGCGCGGCGACCGGCTGGCGTCAGCGGCCGCACGCCTGTCACACACACCGCCGAGGAACGCACACACGCGCACAATGAGTGCTCAGTCCCCCGCATCACGCACCATCGGCAGCAGCAATGTCAAATATTCACGCGGGCGCGAGGGAGCGAGAGGTGAGGCTCAGGAGAAAGGGTTAAAATGTCAAAAAGAGCAGTACTCACCGCGGGTGCTTTTCTTTGGGAGACACAGGAGTTTGTCAAGTTGTGAAGGGAGGACTCTGAAGTGAAATAGCGGTTGTCAAACTTGTGGAGGGTTCGCAGTTGGCCCTGTGGAGTTTCTGAAATAAATCAGAAATTAAGAAAATAAGCAAAACTGGCATCCGTTCTTCAAATTTTGTATGGAAGTAATATCATGAGAGAATGCCTGTGGAAACTTCTGTTAAGTGCAACTTTTGTAATTAGTTTGTATTTTCATTTAAGCTGTCTCTGCTGCACAGAAAGTTAGTATCTATTTGTTAGTAAGTATGTCACTATTATTAGTATTGGTAGTATACTAGTAACAGTAGGAAGGAAACTGTCAAAATACAGCACATTTTACACAAACTTACAACACAAATTATTCAAAAATTGCAATTTTATTCCCCAAATCAACACATTTGTCTGCTGTTATAATCTTATGCTGTACAAAATAAGTGGATTTGACAAAGGTGCTTGTAGTATTAGTAGTAGTGGTAGTAATAGTAGTGGTGGTAGCATTAGTAGGAGTAGAAGTAGTGGTGGTACTAGTAGTTGTATTAATAGTAGTAAAAGTATTAGTAGTTAGTTATTTATTATTTAAGCTTAAACACAAAAGAAAACATGTAAGAAAAATAGCATGATTTACTTATAAATTGTTGTTTGCTTTGTTTCAAGTAAGTTAAGTTGAGCCCCTGCACGTGCACAATAATGAAATAAACAAACAAGAACAGATGATATGAAGTAAAAGCCACCAAAATCCTGGTGGATCAATGGACACTGTTCACGGCCCTGTGCTGCCCCCTTGTGGCGCTCCTGCATATGGTTTGACTGAATTCCAAACTTGTCTTTCACAGTGACCTGATGTTGCTGACCCTGAGGGAAAGTTTGTAAAGTACAGCGCAGATATAATGCTTGTCATGTGCAAAGAGTCATTTGAGCACGATGTGTAAGGAGGCCTGAATGAAGTACAGCGGGACCCCTTTATACGGCCAACACCCTGAGCCGCGCACATCTGCAGTTAATCAGAGAGCTTAGCCAAACACACACGTATAAACCGGCACAGACACACACAGGCAAACACTTCTGCAGCTTCAGAAACTCCAGACGAACTGTTGAACTTCCGACATGACTGGGGTCAGCACACTTACCCTCACTATAATGGTCTGTGTAATCGGAGCCAGAGAGGACCGAAGAAGTCCCTAAAAACAAAAAGCATAAACACCCCATTAACATAATAAACATGCATAATGTACTCAACTCCTTCAACAAAAGGTTTCAGATGTAGTACTCCCTTGAAAATATTCATGTTATTGTTGGTAATAAACATGCACGAGACACGCAGGCTTGTTTCCATCGCTCGGGCATTCACTCTCACATAGGGCAGTAAGTTAATCGATTATTTGCAACTAATCAATTATTTAAAAAGTTGTCAACTAATTCAGTAATAGATTAATCTCTATTTCAACCCTCTACAGATTTAAACATGCTAAGAAGATGTTTTATGACTCAGATGATTATAAAATGACTGCAGAATGAAATGAAAAAGTGTTTACAAAGTGTAACCAGTCATCATGAAGATGCTTGCTAGGAGCATATTTGTTTCGGTCAAATGGATAGAAAATCCCATATTCCCTGACCAAACCTGATCATATTTAATCTAATCCAACTGTAATCAAATCCAACAAACTGCTTGCTGCTTGCTGTTCCGTTTGTAGTTTTCGCCTGCAGGACGTTTTTTGGCCTCTGTCACATCTTGAGTTCATATTTTTCAAAAGAGAAGACCACTAGTCCAGCCAATCAGCTCTCAGCCCAAAGGATCAAATAGTGACTCACGGGGCTCTTTCTTACAAGTATTCAAAAGTATCCTGATAACATTGTAAACAAAAATGTGTACTTTTAGAAGTATCTTTGTGTTGGGACAAAGACAATGTATTAATGGGGGGTGGAATGTTTGGCACTTTACTGTTAATGGGCACAAATGCACAAAAGTGAAGCCGTTAAATGACCAACTCACTGCACAATGAGGTAAAACTTTGTAAAAGTTAATCAACTGCAGCTGTGCAAGTCGTGCAGATGAGTTTGTCTTTTAGTTTACCAATTAGAACCAGTAAGAACCTACTGACACTGCTGCAGTTGTAGTTACGCTTATTCTAGTTTCTTTTGTGATTACAACATATTTTCAGCACCTTGTACTTTGTAAGCTTTGTAGCTCAATTTCCAAAACTAACCATGGGACTATATTCAGAATAATTTAGTATACGGCTTATCTCTTTTAAAGAGAGCTGACAGTTCCGGGTGAACTAGTTCGTCCCGGAGGAAGATATCATAAGCCCTGACCATACTAACCTGATTGTTACTCTTCTTTTTATCACAAAATAATAAAAATAAATAAAAATAAAAGCCAAATACGAAGAATTCAGCCAGCCCCGTTACAGGTGACATTTTTAAAAAGATGCTAACTTGCTAAGTCTTTGGACAAAGGACACGCTGAACAGCCAGCATTAAACTAGTGTAATGGATTTCAGGTCTATGGTTGAAACACCGCGGTGCTATAGATCCATGGCTATAACCCTAATATAATATAATAATATTAATTAATTTAAGTTAATTAATTTAATTTAATTTAATATAATACATCCATGCTATAACCCTGTGGTCTCAGGGCATTTTATGTCAATAGTTGTAAACTGTGGATAATTCCTTCTCTAACTTAAACCATCTGAATAAAATAGTTATGAGCTTTGATAAACTGATTGTTTTATAATAAGTACATTGTGATACATGTAATACACATGGATATATATTATAACATACCTGGTTAGCAACACGTGGAGAGTTCAGGGTGAAGACCAGAATGAGATTAGCGCGCCACCTTCAGGATCTTGTTACTAACTACAACCGTTGCTTGTCCATAAAATACTATGTAAAGATATATCATATTAAGTATATGATATTAAAGTAATCTATGAAATAGTTAATAAAATCCAACACTTTATACACATGTTTTATCATTTTAATTCATGCATCAATGTTCAAATACAGTTAAGAAATGCATACAAATATACAAGTTTAAGACTTTAAGGGCATGGTTTTTTTTAAAGCATTTTTGTCCTGTTCACATACTGTTTTTTCAGACAGAGTAGGCAAAGACAGGGGTTGACAGCCTTTATTAAAAAAAAAAAGAGCCATTTCAAGAGTTTCCACATGTACGTTTTTATATTTCTTATGAAAAGAATGAACAAACCAAAAACCAGAAAAGTAACCCTAACCCTGCAAAATTACAAAAGGAGCAAGTGCGTACAAATGATCAAAGAGAGATCAGGTGTTCTTCGAGGTCTGTGGGGAAAATAATGTGGAGAACAAAGATCCGAGGCACTCTGAATTTAAAATAAAATGTATTTATTCCTAAAGGAATATGGCAAGGCTGGAGACACCGTGTTAAACTTTGGTCCAGGCATTTCCCCCAAAAATTAGTAATTGGAAATACTCTCACAAGCATGGAATGGACATAATGTCACATGGGTGAATCTTAACAATAATGCACCACTGTGGTTCAATACAATACAATGCACAGCCGACAAGTGACTCCAGAGCTGCAAGTTGCCTACCCTGGTAGGTAAATGTATTTGTTTTAAAGTTTATTTAAAAGGGACAGAACAAAGATCATTGCAACATGCAAAGTATGCCGTGTCCATAGGCCATCTAGCTAGAGGATATTTCTGGTCCCAATAAAAATGATATTAGCAACAACGGAACTCACTACTTCAAGTGATAGCGTTTATTCTTTACACGCTCACATTGTTCAAATGTTTCAATGAGTTAAGACTATAATGCAAACCAGAAAAACATATTCCACAGGCTCACTACACACAATAGTGCTTTTAGGCATATTTTGTACTGGATCAACCGACTCTTCGAGCTCAGAATAATCAGATACATAAAAACACTGGGTTCCAAGCCTTCAACATGTATTCAGAACATGCACTGCATTTGCGTGTTTATATACAATACACAGACATTATTAAAAAGATCGAAGGAATACATTGTGGTATATGATCATGCAGGAAGATTAAAACGGCAAATATGCAAACAGCACGTGTGAGTCAGGGACGTGCGGTGAGGTTTGTGATTGGGGAGGCACTGACTTTAAAAGTCAGATTTACAATCATTATTCAAATAAAATAGCATTTAATCACCAATGCAATGACATCCACAAACTTTATATACTGTAAAGATAAGAGAACCAGCTTCTTTTAATAATCTCACAACAAATCTAGCTGCTGACTCTGCTCCGCATCAAACAACATCTTTAAGAAGCGCAGGTGCGAGAGACGCGAGGAGAGAGAGACGCGAGGAGAGAGGAGCAGAGAGAGACAGAGAGGAGCAGAGAGACGGAGACGCGAGGAGCAGAGAGAGACGGAGACGCGAGGAGAGAGAGACGCGAGGAGAGAGGAGCAGAGAGAGACAGAGAGAGGAGAGAGAGAGACGCGGAGACGCGAGGAGGAGAGAGAGAGAGACAGAGAGGAGCAGAGAGAGACGGAGACGCGAGGAGCAGAGAGAGACGGAGACGCGAGGAGCAGAGAGAGACGGAGACGCGAGGAGAGAGAGACGCGAGGAACATAAACAATAATTTAAACAAGTTGCAGAACTCTTGAGCAGTGTTTGAATCAGTGTTTTTCGGAAAAGCACTACTTTGCCGGTATCTGTCAATGTTCAACATAAAACACAGATTAACAAACTCCTCCCCCGCAGCCGGACTAACCTCGTAAGTCCAGTGGTGGTCTCCCAGTCTATATTAATTCTTTCTTTGTTTGAAAGTCCAATTGAGAAAAAAAATCTTCATTCAAATCATCCATTTTCCAGCAAAAGAAATAGCATTTTGGGCTGATTGTTTGTTAGCAACTCTGGTATGAACTTTATGCTCACTATCACCCCTAGCGGTGAGGCACAGATACCGCCTGCCTCACGCCAAGCTTTTTCCTTGTGTGTTCATCTACGATCAAAAGACTTAAACTAAATATAAATTGTACACACATACGTGCAATACACTACTAAACACAAGAGGAGTTTAAAAAATGTTTTTAAAGCAGGATATTTGAAACAAACGGTGATATATCAACTGCACGAGCTGAGTGCACTCAGACACACACACACACACTGTGAGGGAGCGGTCTGGGGTGAGGCACGCAGGAGCGCTGCCTCACCTCGTCTCTTTGAATAGGAATAACGGGATTTCGGCGATTTTGACTTCAGAAATGATCAAAACTGATGGGAACCGTGCCGAATATACATTAAAAGCATAGGACAGTGGATATAAATTATATATTTAAACTAAAATAATTATTAGTTTCCAATAATGGCAGGTGAGGCTCTGCCTCCCCTGCCTCCCCTGACTGCACGTCCCTGGTGTGAGTGTGGTTTTACCCAGTTCTAAATAGGAATAATGCATGACAGTAGCTTCAACCCAATCAAATCAATCACAATATTCTGCAAATAAGTATTTCAAGTACTCATGACACAGTACTCTGATTGGACAATGTAATTGGAACATTGTAGTAAAAAATAGAAATAGGTATTGAGTGCTCTGTAACAATACATTCGCAAAGTGTTCTCCCCAACACTGTCTATCCTTTACAAACACATTACAAATGACCTTCCATTATCTTTAAACCCTGCAATAATTCTTGCACTTTCCAACTACCACCAAAATAATTTTTCAGGGTTTCCTTCTGAAAAATCCAAACTCACTGTTATGATTGCAGATTCTTGAGTTCCTCTTTCGGATCCCAGAAGTTCTCGAAGAGGGTTGGCACAATGTAGTCAGAAGCGACTCCATCTATGAGCCCTGTGCCATTGTTTCCCACGAACCAACAACCAATGCTTTGTCCAGCTGTCACGTCCCGGCTGAAGTCCTTCTGCCAGTGTCTGCATGGTACAAACATGTAACTATCAGCACAGGAACAAAAGCAGGAATACACATGTTTGTCTCCCTCTCACCTGGTTACATATAGGGCACGTCCTTTAACAAACATGGTACTCGCTCCATGATCCCGGTCTGTCAGCTCAAAATTCACTCCATGATAAAACTGACCTGGAGGAGAAAAGATGGGTTGATTGATTTAAAGTTATTCTATATTATAATCCTGAACTTTCATGTGTCAGTTATTCAATATTTAGTAAATCATAACGAAAGACGAAGGAACATTTACCACAGCTTTTGACCATTAATTTTTTCTTACACCATTGAAGCTATCATCAATTCCTGGTTCCTTTTCCCTCGGAGACACAACTACTGTTTTACCTCATTCTACCATTTTATTTTCCAGATCCGTGATATGCCAATGATGTAATATCGTAACTTGGGCAGGCATTTTTAATCAAAAGAGGGGGGAGAAGTCCGCCATACGCTAGCTTCATTTGTGATTAGAGCCGATTCCACCGTCATCACCTTAAGCGGCAGGAGTAAAGCGATACGTCAGGAGTGAGTACAGTCGTGTGAACTTGTTTCTTCTATGACATCAAGTATTGAGATTTCAACTATATTTATATACAGTATATACGAGCAAAGCAAAGGTACTGTATCAACCCAGGACAGTGTCAAAATTAAAGGGTCAAAATAAGCCTCCGACTTTCATAACAAGTCTTCTAGTAATAGTAGTAAATGTATTTATATAGCGCATTAAACAGACCAGGGTCACCCAAATGTTCAGAATTCAGATATTTTTCAATTCTCTCCACACACGGTGATGACGGAAGCGAGACGTCAAACACACTGGCGCATCAAAGCCACTCACTCATTACATTCACTCCTATTGTACAGGTTTTTAGTGGTAGGGGAAACCAGAGCACCCGGACGAAACCTATGCAGACATAAGGAGAACATGCAAACTCCATTGTTCTGTTTTATACTTTCTCAACCCTATTCTTTAGAAGCACATGCTCAGGACTCGCTCAGTGTATAAGGAAAGGGTGGGGTTTTTGGTTAAAGTTTATTTCTTCTGTTTTTGCACAGTAGGAATGAAGCGAATGAGTCACGGGCCTCATGGATTATCACTCTAGGCTGAAGTACAGTATGTGTAGCACTATGTGATGTCTTACCCAGAAGACCATAAACTGAAGGGGACAGGTGCTGAGTTTCCAGATTGTAGAAGCCGAGATAACTTTGCTGATCGTGGCGTCTCTTCCAGAGCTTTGTGTGTTTGATGACCATAAACTTGACAGAGTGACGCATAGTTACCGTCAGGCTGCAGTTTTTAGTCAGTTTGATTTTAACACTGGGGGAGCAAGAAAACATCATTTACAGCAACAGATTCCAAAAAGTTTAAAAGTTATGAAATTGTGTCTGAAATAAAGATACAATCTTACAATACAATCTTATGCCTTTATTCTTTATTTGTGGGACTAAAGTGCGACTTTTGTGGCAGGGGATATCGGAGCACCCGGGGGCACTCAGGGAGAGCTCAATGACCCAGAAGCTCCTGGGTTTGATTCAACCTCCAGACAGGACCTTTCTGTCTAAATAACGATACATTTACATACAATAAACACGAGTTTTACTTCAACCGACTAAGTTTCACTTCTACCTACTCCTTATCAAATTGTATATTTACTTATATGGTTTTATTGTAAGTAAGTAATGTTTATTATTGGTGCATCAGCCCCCAATCAACACCATCCATTCACTCTCTCATTTACAGTACATTCATACCTAATGTGCATGTTTTTAGTGGTAGAGGAAACCGGAGCACCCGGAGGAAACCTACTGTACGCAGACACTGGGAGAACATGCAAACTCCCCTCAGAAACCCACAACCTTCTTGCTGAGAGGCGAGAGTGCATCCACTCAGCCACAGAGCCGCCCATGTATTGTATTGTAAAATGAATCATTCATATAGTAAGCTTTAGTAAGCTTTATTTATATACCGCCTTTCACAGACCAGAGTCACAAAGCGGTTTACAATTGTTATTTTTTGGGCACTTGTCCTCTCACTCCACACAGAGATGGGAGCGGGGTCACCGAACAGGAGGCGCATGCCAGACCTATTGTACATATTTTTAGTGGTAGGGGAAACCGGAGTACCCGGAGGAAACCTACGCAGACACAGGGAGAACATGCAAACTCCACTCAGAAAGGCCCTGGTCCGGCCGGGATTCGAACCCAGGCAAGAGTGCTATCCACTCAGCCACCGTGCCGCCCATATATCATAAAGCCCTTTTATAAAGCACTTACAAATTGTAATAATTGTAAAGTGTACATGCTTTGTACATTTTCAATTAAAATCAAATAAATATATAGCAAAGAAGTCCATTGTTTTGATAAAATCAGTGTCCCATTTCTAGTCTGTAGTTTTGTCACTTACTTGGGCCATTGCACTGATGTCGAATCAGACCAGAGCAGGATTGTCTGCTCTCCATCCTGCGTCACAATGATGCTTCGAGTGCTCACCTCAAGCCTCACCCCCAGTGCATCGTGGGTAATGCCAAATCGGCCAAAGTATGTTTTCATATTACCAGTGTCTCCCGCTATGTGCTTTCCTATAATCTCTCCATTGACGATGAATCCTGAAAATGAAGATTAAGATAAAGATCCTTTATTCGTCCCACAGAGGGGAAATGTCAGCGTTGGATCCCAGTTACAGAACAGTAGGAATCACAATGAAGTGATCTATTATCACAAAATCACTTTCAGGATGGGAAAGGTAATAAAATCATTTATTAAAGCAAGCTTCTACCAGAGTCTTGAGCAAAGTGAAGGTTGTAGAGAGAGAAATTCTAAACTTGCAAAAATGTCTAAAATCGATTTGCAATACAATTTACCAAGGGATGGAGTGAGGTAACTCAAATGCAGCAGCAACTTTTGTTCTTATTTCAAGTGAGAATATTTACCTGGTATGACTAATAGGTTTGGTCTCTCTCTGGTCTCTGGTCCTGCTCTCTGGTCTCTCTGGTCTCTAGCTCTCTGGTCCTGCTCTCTAGTCTCTCTCTCTCTGGTCTCTCTCTCTCTGGTCTCTTTTTCTGATCTCTCTCTCTAGTCTTTCCTGTTTTTGAAGGCCCATGTTGCTGGAATATGTAATGTATTGTACTGTATACTGTATATGGATGCTTTGCATTGTTTTGTAAAATATTTTCACCTGGTTTAGGGTCCCTCACAAGGTTGAAAATGGTTCCTGGTTTATGGTTGATGTTGAAGCATAGAGCATCATCTCTTTCAGGCAGCTCAATCATGAAATGTGGGTCTCCATCAGCTGCACAGAACAAGCACATTTTAAGTTTAGTTCATTACTTTCTGGTCATTGATCAACAAAAACAAAAAAGGCAAGAATAAAATTGACAATATTAAAGACTGAAAAGGTTTAGGCAGAAGTTTAAGAGTTATTTCGTCTAACCCATTAACAAAATCATTCGCAATGTAGCTGTCTGCAAGACATCAAGACTCTGGAAGTATAAACAACTTATTACAGTTTTTAAAAGATAAATCACACAAAATACATTCAAAATAACTATACAGCCGATTTATAATACATTATAAGAATGGTACCAGGATGAGCTCCCACCTCCTCCTCCTCCTCCTCCACCACCACCTCTTCCTCCTCCTCTTCCTCCTCCTCCTCCTCTGACTCCAGACGCTGCAGTACTGCCCTGAGCCCTTTCTGCTTGTTGTCTCTGAGCTTTAAAACAAGCAACAAAAGATAGATATAAGTCAACTCCATATTATTCTTGTACTTTTAAGGTGGACTATTAGATGCACCTGACCATTGACAGCACCAGCTAAATTTGAAAATCTTCTCTATTTAATGTACTGTGATTTTGTTTCTTCTTAAAATATATTATTATTTCAGTTAATTATTTCAGTATGTTATAAATGTCTTAATTGTTTCTTTACAACTTTGAGTTGCCTTGTGTATAAAGTGTGCAACACAACTAAACTTGCAGATATAAATTGATAGTTTATGGATGTAAATGATTGCAAATGTTGTAAAAGGTTAAAAGCCCAAATTAAACAATAAAGAAGATTCCAGATCCAAGTCCAGGTTGTTTCAGACATATGACCACATACTCTCCGTCAGTTTATCTGCCACCAGCGTGTCTTCAGTTTGAGGCTTGGCTACGACCATTGAGGTGTGAGGAGTCACAAAGCCGTATTCCAGAGACATGTGCAGGGCCCTATCTTTGCTTTCCTCTTTCTCCAGCACGGTGCCAATGTCACTAGAAACAAAACCGCATCAGAACGTGTGCATTCAAAAGAGCGACACCAACACAGATTGTGAAGAAACCTCTTATCCAAAAGCTGCTGTATAGTGAGGTACGCCCACAAGCGCTCCGTGAAGTTCCCAAAAATGTATTCCTCGTCTGGGTAGATCACACCCCAGTCCTCTGCCTTCGCCTGGCCTTGGACCTGAAAGTCGTCACTGGACTGGAAACACATTTAGCACAATCATAAAAGTCAAAATGTGTAGTAATCTGGATGTGAAATTAATTTGAAAACAGAAATAGTAAAATGGAAAATACTACTTTATAATGCAATATTATTTTTAGGGAGTCACTGTTATGGGCTGAGGTAACTTCACATTTCTTTGTTCAAATGCGGATTTAAGAGTCACTATCTGATTAAGGTTAGGAACTCTTTGGTTAGGGTTTTGTAGGTGAAAAGGGAAGGGTTAGCTTGCAGCGGGACGAAATGCCAAGATTTAAGGGAGTCCCGTTATTTTAAACAGATCACACTTTCAAACCGAATTAGAAGCAAATTGCATCATGTCTTACCCCTTGTGCAGACACCTCCACCAACAAATTATTGATATTGTTGTCCGACAGTTTTCCGGCCACAACAATCTCAGATCCATCGAATAGGTGTCGGAAGTGGTTTTGAGTCATCACAGCATTGTCCGAATACTTCAGACCCACGTCTAACAGCAGCGGCTTTGAAACTTCCTCATAAAACCCCTGAAATGCATAAACAATGATCAGAACAGAACATTTAAGTTGTTTTCACATGGGCTCGACTCGGTTGAGCAGGAGAGAGGATGGATGTGATGTTACTGTCATGGTGTGGATTTTATTTTTGTACTTCAGTTCTGTGGTTTTGTTTTAATTTGACTTCCTGTTCCTCCTGTGTTGATTACTTATGTGTTTCCTTTGTGTTTATTTGTACTTTATTTGTGCTCCTCTCCCCTTGTTGTTGCTCCATTGTCTTTGCATGTGTTTGTCTATGTTCCTGAGTTTCGCTTGGATTTTTGGTTTGTTTTTTCTGGGCTTTTATTTTATTATCATTATAATTTATCATAAAAATCATTATTTTTGCAATTCCCGCTTTTTTGGGTTCACCTTCACTTCACCGCATGCTAATTACACAGGCAGAAAGGCACATGAATAAAAGAAATCAAGTATACTGGACACTGCAGACGAGCTGAATCACATGGATCTATAAAAATAACTGGATAGGGTATTACTAGCTTATAGCTGTCCCACCCATGGGCAAAGTCCCTTAGATAAAACAGCTCGACCTCCGCTGACAGAGAACCTACAGCTTTCATAAAGGTCAGATTTTGTGGGGATTTTAGTGTCTCTTGTCATCCTGAACTTTTTTCTTCTTAAATCCTTCGGTTTTCTTTAAATCCTCACTTTACTGCCACAAACTCTGCTCCTTTCCTTCCCGCTCTGACTGCGCTCTACCGCTGCAGCTCTGATTGGTCAAAGCGTGGCCGAGTCCCTCTGTGCACGTGCATGAGAGCCACACGCGTGTATTTGGCGCAACGCATTGTGGGAGCTCGTCCACTGCGCAGTACCGGGAGGACCAGACGATGCCCAAATATAGCCTAGTTCCTCTGATACGTCAGGGCCCGTGAAGTCCCATGCGCTACTGAGCACTTTTTTTTTTTTTTTTAACATGAATTTATTTCTTCAAAAGTGCAGGTATACAACATGCATACAAATTGATAATCAAATAGCCAGAGGGTTAAAGTGAAAAAAATAAATACAAATAATCATGTACAGTCAAATACATTGTACGCAGTACAAATGTCAATAGTCCTTACAGCTTTTTTGTTAGTTATGCCACTTATCAATTTGATATACAACAAAAAATCATTGTAGAAATGTCTAAAGGCAGGCTTCTGCTTGCTATATTTACATTTATGAATGAAAAATTTGGCCTGTATAATCAATAAATTTATAATGAAAAAAACATCCTTTTTATGCCTTCTAAAAAAACAAAAGATCACATTTTCCCATTTTAAAGAAAAGTCTTTATAAATATGGTCAATGATGAATCTACTGAAGTCCTTCCAGAATGATGTGGTGTGAGAGCAGATCAAAAACATGTGCTGAACAGTCTCCGGGTGGGTTTCACAAAAGCTACATTTCACATCAATGTCTCTTTTAAATTTTGTCATATAGTGATTTGCTGGGTAATATTTATGAATAATTTTAAATGAAACTTCCTTTACCTTATTAGTTATACAAAATGTGTTTGGAATTGTCCAAATTATTCTCCAATTGAGGTCCGCCACAAAATTACTCCAATAAAAAACAACATATGGAATAGTCGTAAGGGTATTGTGAAACAATCTATGTACATTTCTATTACTCTTTTTGTGAGACATTAGACATAACTTTCCCATTTCCGTTTCTAAAATATTGGGAACCGAAACAGGCCGTGAGTTTGACACTTTGAAATAACATTTTCACGCATGAAGGTACAGCCTTCACAAGTGTTGCATGTTCTGTAGATGTAGCTGGGAATTTATAAGTGTTTAAGAATTCAAAATATGACATAAGCTGCCCATTACTGTTGAACAGTTGACTCACCAAAATTATCTGTTTCTCAACCCATTTAGAAAAGAATAATGATTTATGTTTATGAGTGATGTCTCCATTATTCCAAATTATAAATTCCAAATTATAAAGAGGGGAAAAGTTATGCTTATAAATTAGGGACCATGCTAATAATACTTCACTTTGGAGAGACCCAAGAGGGAAAATGCAGTTAGAAGTTTGTTGATTGAGTATGTTTGGCGCCCTAGGCCCGGGAGAGATGCTGATGAGTGCGGCGCTTGCTCGCGCATAATCCCCCCCCGGGGCCTAGGCACTGGTGACGGCAGAGGCAGTAGGCAAGCACGCTTCGATGAGAGAAGGAGGAGGTGGGGCGGCGGAGGCTTTGCAAACTTCAGAAGGCCGGGAAAGTGGGCGTCTCCGGCTTTTAACTTGCTGTCCTGGTGGTTATTGGTGGATTAGATGTGGGCGTTTTGCTGGTGTAATGAGTAGAGGATGAGCAGGCTTGTAGCAGCGCCGGGTCTACCACAGTGAACTTTCGCGAAGAGCTTCATTTCACTTTGGAGAGACCCAAGAGGGAAAATGCAGTTAGAAGTTTGTTGATTGAGTATGTTTGGCGCCCTAGGCCCGGGAGAGATGCTGATGAGTGCGGCGCTTGCTCGCGCGCATAATCCCCAAAAACGGGCAGAGTTATCTTTGCGCGCCGGGACGTGAGCGCTCGCTTCACGATCAACCGGACGCTGCCTGGGACGTGAGCGCTCGCATCACGATCGATACCAGACGCTGTAGCAGAGTTATCTTTGCGCGCCGGGACGTGAGCGCTCGCCTCACGATCAACCGGACGCTGCCTGGGACGTGAGCGCTCGCATCACGATCGATACCAGACGCTGCAGTGGAGTTATCTTTAAGCGCCGGGACGTGAGCGCTCGCATCACGATCAACCGGACGCTGCCTGGGACGTGAGCGCTCGCATCACGATCGATACCAGACGCTGTAGCAGAGTTATCTTTGAGCGCCGGGACGTGAGCGCTCGCTTCACGATCAACCGGACGCTGCCTGGGACGTGAGCGCTCGCATCACGATCGATACCAGACGCTGTAGCAGAGTTGTCTTTAAGCGCCGGGACGTGAGCGCTCGCATCACGATCAACCGGACGCTGCCTGGGACGTGAGCGCTCGCATCACGATCGATACCAGACGCTGCAGTGGAGTTATCTTTAAGCGCCGGGACGTGAGCGCTCGCATCACGATCAACCGGACGCTGCCTGGGACGTGAGCGCTCGCATCACGATCGATACCAGACGCTGCAGTGGAGTTATCTTTAAGCGCCGGGACGTGAGCGCTCGCATCACGATCAACCGGACGCTGCCTGGGACGTGAGCGCTCGCATCACGATCGATACCAGACGCTGTAGCAGAGTTGTCTTTAAGCGCCGGGACGTGAGCGCTCGCATCACGATCAACCGGACGCTGCCTGGGACGTGAGCGCTCGCATCACGATCGATACCAGACGCTGCAGTGGAGTTGTCTTTAAGCGCCGGGACGTGAGCGCTCGCATCACGATCAACCGGACGCTGCCTGGGACGTGAGCGCTCGCATCACGATCGATACCAGACGCTGCAGTGGAGTTATCTTTAAGCGCCGGGACGTGAGCGCTCGCATCACGATCAACCGGACGCTGCCTGGGACGTGAGCGCTCGCATCACGATCGATACCAGACGCTGCAGTGGAGTTATCTTTAAGCGCCGGGACGTGAGCGCTCGCATCACGATCAACCGGACGCTGCCTGGGACGTGAGCGCTCGCATCACGATCAACCGGACGCTGCCTGGGACGTGAGCGCTCGCATCACGATCAATACCAGACGCTGTAGCAGAGTTGTCTTTAAGCGCCGGGACGTGAGCGCTCACATCACGATCAACCGGACGCTGTCTGGGACGTGAGCGCTCGCATCACGATCGGTACCAGACGCTGCAGTGGAGTTATCTTTAAGCGCCGGGACGTGAGCGCTCGCATCACGATCAACCGGACGCTGCAACAGGGTTATCTTTGAAGAAGTGCGTGCCGCCACCAGAATCTTATTGGTTCACTTACTTTGCTTTGTATTGTATTGCTTTGCTGGGAGCTTACGAGGAAGCCAGTAGCCGTTGTGCAGCCAGGATAGCGGACGCGTCTGGCCTGATGTAGGCGGAGAAGGCCGAAGAGGACCAGCGCCCCAGCTGTTGCAGAGAGGTGTGGGGAAGCCCCAGCGAGGCCGCGCGCGTGGCGGCGCCTATCCTGAATGAGTGAGCTGTGTAGAGCTGGGGAGACAATTTACAGAGGAGCAGTAGGGATCTTAGTCGAGCTCTGAACCAGGTTGCTGTCATGGGAAGAATGTCTGGAGTGAGAAATAGAGGTCCGTTAAGATCTCCTTTTTGCAGCGGAGGCGAGTGTAACGCATCATGGATATGTAGGGGCAGAGAGATGTGTCCGAGCGAGCTATTACTATATTGCAGGCTCCTTTGATTTTTGAATGTTTGAGACGGAGGTTGAAATGGTCAGGGGACATTATGTTGGGTGAAAAAGAGCGACCTTTGTGTAATGCTTCCACTACGTCGAGATTATCACACATGACAGAGATCCTCTTTCTCTGCCACGTGTGATTCCACAGCGCGCAGGCCACGACCACTGGGAATATCTCGTGCAGGGCAGAGGAGATGCTCCGGTGGAAAGTAGCGGCCACGCTCGGCAAACCAATGGTCCTGGAAGAACCCCCAAAACCCACGGAAGGGGCAGCGTCCGTGTAGAAGCGGAGACCTGTAGGGGCAGAGACATGTCGGAGAGGGCCATTGATGTTGCAGGCGCCCTTACGCTTAGAATCTTGGGTTGGAGAGTAGATAATCAGGATAGTAGGATGGTCGGGAAGCCGCGTCTCGGACCGCATGAAGGTTGAGTGAGCAATGGTGAGACGCTTAGGATGGGCAGCGTGATGGGGAGCCTGCGATCAGAAGAGTGAAGAACACAGGTATGGATGCCTTTGATTAGGAGTCCGATTGACGGCTCAGCGCAGCTACTTGGCCGGCTGCATCTGATGGATCAGAAGATTAAGTATAGAGATGAAGCACGAC